GTGGAACCTATCGCCATAGTTGCTCCTGGCAAAAAAGAAGAAGGAGTGGCTCCTAAGGCGAACATTCCACCTGTGCCCGGCCCTACGCTAGCGCTCTCCTCTAAGCTTCTAGTTAGCTCATTAAAAAAACGGACTCCCGGGCACATGGCTTTGTGAAGATGCGTTGGTTGATCAGGATCCTGCATCAGCCAGAGATAATAAGAGAGCTTCTCTTCTTGCGCCAGAAACAACCACGCTGCCATTGCTATCCCTTATCACAAACTCATTGCCACAACTTCTACCCTCTCGTACAGCCGCATCCGTGTTAAGCTTATAGCTAGGAACCATGAGGGGAGGTGTCCAGTGAGTATCAGGGGTAAATTGTTCCACAGTAGGGATCGAATTAGCTTCCTAAAAATCATGTAAATATTTGAGGGCTGGACGATCTAAACCTGAATCGACTTTGTTTAAACTTCAACTGGTTCCTTGCATACAATAGAGACCAAGAAAGCACCGAGAACTATTTGGTTCGGTGAATAAATTTTCGATTAAAAATTTGGTTTAAAAAAAGTTAAAATTTTCGGTTATTGATTCAGTTAAAAGTTAATTTAATCAAATTAATCGACTCTTAAAACTATATCGTTTTGATTAAGTACATAATAACATCAAAAATATTTTAATTTTTATTTTTGATAAAATAGTGATTAACAAGTTCAGTTAATTTTTGTTTCGTTAATTAAATTTTATTTTCTTTAACTTCAGTTGATTAAATTTGGTAAAATAAAAATATTTCAGTTAATTTATTTTGATTAATTTATTCAAATCCACCGAATTGGCCGAATGTTGTCCCGTTGAAAACAAGCAAAGTTGTTCCGTAGCAAAATTAGCAGATAAGAGAGTAAACTAGTCTAAAGAGGAAAGAACTTGAAACTGAGATGAATACATTCGCAAAGCGCTGTAAACCCAGACCATTCGGGCAATGGAGCATTCCTTAGTACATGCAGGATTGTTTTGTACGCTCTCACCTCACTGACCACAAATCGGATCCATTTTCATGCCCCTCCTAAGCAATGCGTCCATGACAGGTAACTGGTTAGTGCATGCTCTATGAACGAAGTTGCGAACCTTTGGGTGGAATATTCTGACGAATTGGCCAAGGGTTATGAGATAGGCTTGTAATTCCTTGGCTTGAAGAATAGTTGTGCATTTATTTTTTATTGTCTAATAAATTACGAAAGAATGCTTAGGAAAAAGCAATCTTCATCAACTTTTTCTTATTAAATTAACCAATAACGTTTAAGAAAAAACATCCTTTAACTTTTTATTAAGCATAGTTTTAAGGTTTGTTTGGCAATATTAACCATTATAGTAGTTGTTTTAGTAACGTTTAACTGTTCGTTATTAGTTGTTTATATAGTGGTTTAAAGCAAAAGTGTTTGGTAACTATTGAATTAACACAAATTTACCTTAATATATATAATAAATTTTTAATAAATAAAATTAAATTTGATATCTTTCTCAAAAAAAAAAATAAAAACTTATTCAATTAGTAGCCTATTCAATTAAAGAATGTAATTTAATTCAAGTTAAAATTCACATTCATTAAATAATTAATCTATATAATTAAGGAAGGTATTTCACTATTTATCTATTATTTTTATAAAAAATTTAATATCTCCAATAAGCATTATATTTGGCATGTTAGATTAATTTTTAAGAACGCACTTTATATGTTATTTATACTTATTGTTGATACTTTTGATTTAGTAATTTTAATAATAAATGAAAATTAATATATGAGAATTTCTAATTGAATTCAAAATATTAATCTTTAGTAATATTTATCTTTTATTTTAAATTTTAATGTTGATAGATGATTTTTTAAAATGTTTAATATTAAATATTAATATTGGTGATCATCATAATAGTTGATTTCAAGTATTAGTCATTTAATATCATAATTTAATTGTGATATTAAGATTATAATTAAGTTTAAATATTAGTTTTTTCTAATGTCAATTATAAAATAATTAATACTTAGGATTTTTAATTGAGTTGGTAAATTTAAATATTGATTTTTTAACATCAGCATTAGTTATGAGGTACGTATTTTCTAAGATAAAAGATTCTTTAAATGGAAAAAAGTAATTTCAAATTTTTTTAGTATTACTTTTATATTTATTATTATTTTCTCTATCCATATAAATCTAATGTGATTTAGCATTATTTATTTATTATGATACTTGGATATTATATTTTTATTCAATTGATTGTATACATAATAATCAATAGTTAATTTTACTTTGAATTTAAAAATGAAAGTGTGAAATATTTTTAATTATTTTGTCATAGATTTTATATTTTTTTATTTTTTTATTATTAACTAAAACCTTTAATGGCTTAATAAGGGAGAGATTTGATAATTAGAAGAATTTTTCACATCAATAACTAAAAGAAAGGAAAAAATAATTTTAGAAAAAAAAAATAGTTTTGAGAAATAAGTAATCAAAAATTGAAAATAACTTATGTTTCTAATAAATAAAAAACTAAAAACAAACAATTATAACAAACACGACCTTCGAAAACGTCATTTTTTTTTTTTTAAAGAACAAAGACATTAATTGTGAGGTATGTCTTTTCTAAAATAAAATATCCTTAAAAAAGAAAAAAGACCATTTCAAATCTTATGTTCAAATCATATATTGCGTATACCTGACATTTCAATATTTATCTATAACTTTTTTTAAAAGAAAAAAATTAATACTCTTAATCAGCAGATTGAATTTCTATATTTTTTTATTAGAGAATAATAAAATTAATTATCTTAAAAAAAAAAATAATCCGAGAACGAGTTAGGGATATCATCACATATTTAGATATGAGCAAAATGATAAACCGACAAACAGCAAATAGCAAATAGCAAAGTGCTAAGATTTCAACTATAGCTGCGGAATTGTTGCTTTCATAATAAATAAACTTTCCTTCCTCATCCTCAAATAGTGCACCATAGCCTGCTAAACCAGAATTATTAAGTTTATATTTAGCTACTTAGATTAGTTTTTAAGGACGTTCTTTACATATTATTTATACTCATTATTGATACTTTTTGATTTAGTAATTTTAACAATAAATTAAAATTTAAATATGAGAATCTCTAATTGAGTTTAAATCTTAACCTTTAGTAATATTTATCTTTTTCAATTTAATTTTGAGATATGATTTTTTTTTTATTTTTAATATTAAATATAATTATTAGTCATCGTCATAATAATTGATTTGAAGTATTAATCATTTAATATCATAATTTAATTGTAATATTAAGATTATAATTAAGTTCAAACGTTAGTTCTTTAACATCGATTATAAAATATAATCTTTAAGATTTTTAATTGAATCGGTAAATTTAAATATTAATTTATTAACAATGAGGTTAATTATAAGGTATGTCTTTTATAAGTTAAAAGATTTTTTAGATAGAAAAATGTGATTTTAAATTTTATGTTCAAACCATATATTGTATGTATCTATTGTAAGAATTAACAAGATTCAAAATCCACGTATAAAATCAATATAGAAGTACTAAATTCAATTAGCATAAAATACATACACATAAATATAAACATAAGTATTAAATCACAAAATAAAAAATTGATTATCGATGTTAAGCGATATATATATGATTGCACAAAACTTCTACACTAGCGTTCCTAGTTTTGAAGTAAGATTAGACAAAATTTTAAAATTTTAATTAGGATAAAATAAAAATTTTCGATTAGAATTCATAATATATATTTGCTTTAATATCAATGAAATATAGTTTAATTTTATATCATGTTTATTAGTATTTATAAAATATATAATATCAATGCTTCTCATTAAGTGTATTTAATTTATTAGATTGTTTTTTTTTTGGTCAAAATCTAGAATAAAATTCTTTATATTTGTCCAAATATTTATGTTAATATTGATATAATCACATGTTATATTATATAATATTTTTTATTTAATAAAATTTCAATTAAAATAATTTTCTCGCTATACAATTAAATTTTTAAATCAAAATTTATAATTATAACTTTTTGTAATAATAATTATTTTATTTATTTGTTAGCCAATAAATCTTACATTTAAATAGAAACTCAATATAACCAATCAAATCAAATTATTTTTTATTTTTTCAACCAATGAAATTAAAATTTTTAAAAATATTTTTATCAATCCATAGATTTAATAGAGATATTTTTATCAATCCTAATATTTCCTTTACCTATTTCCACTTTGATATATAATTGTAAATAGATTATCTATAGTAATTTTATTTCATTATATTGTCAATATGTTAACATTAGCACATCTAACATATTAATATCGTGAGTTAAAATAAACTGATCTTGATCTATGTATATATAAAATAAATTTTTTAATGTAAAAAAATTAAAATTCATATTTTGTTAAAAAATTTTGTTCAATTAATTGTCTAATATTCAACGAAGGAAGGTATTTTAATTCTGTGTTTTTTAACCAATGGAATTAAAATTTTTTAATATATTTTCATCCATTCCTAAATTTATTAAAGTTATTTTTAAAAAATCTCTATATTTCCCTTCGCATTCTTATTTTTATATATACGCGTAGTTTTTATAAATGTGTGATATACGTTGTAATTTATGTAAATGAATTTTTATATTTTTTCATTGAAAAAATAAAAAGTAAAAAGTGCACGACAACATGGTTTCTAATATTTTACAGTAACGGTTTTATGGTACAACTTATAAAACAAAATCAATCTGCTAGAACTCGTTCCCATTTCTCTTTCTTGCCCCCTGAAAAAATAGCAAGTTAAAAAAATAAAAAAAATAAAAAAAAAAGACAATAATCAAGAATACGAATAGTCTATACTCAAAAAGAATACGAATGGTTCAACAGACAACGCACACGACACGATATTTCCGATTTTTGCTCTAACACCTTACACTTACCGCTCTCTTCTCTCCTATATGATTCTACACATGAAAATTTTAAAATTTTCAGCTGCTGGGTACCTCCTCTTTTGTACATAAACAGGAGAGAGAGAGCAGCTCATTAGCATATTAATTAACCTTTTTCGAATGAAAAGAAACAAAGAAAGTTCTATTTTCTTCACACATGCTTCGAATCTGAGTCACTGTGGAACAGAAAATATGATTAGCGTGACAAGATACAATTATTATGGCCTCTTGGTCACGGCTTTTGTAATTTCTTTGTTGTCTTCTTCAGTTTTTGCCCATGATGGGAAGACTCGAGAAGTTAGCTACGATGGAAGGTCTTTGATCATTAATGGAAAACGAGAGCTTCTTTTCTCTGGCTCTATCCATTACCCTCGTAGCACCCCTGATGTAATATTGCATTCCAAGATTTTGGATTTCTTTCGTACTCATTATGGTTTTTCCATTTTTAGTGAAATATGGAAGAATTAATTGACATTTTTTCCATTCAGATGTGGCCGGAACTAATCACAAAGGCTAAGCAAGGAGGTTTGAATGTGATTCAAACTTACGTTTTTTGGAACATTCATGAGCCCGTTAAAGGCGAAGTAAGTTTTTGGATCGTTCCAAATACTAAATCAAGTACTATTATATATGCTACGTTTCTTGAACCATAATATAATAGTAATACATTCTATTACGGCTCACTAAATATAATCTTATATTTGATGAAATTTCATGGGATTAATCAATTTAAGATGTTGGTTTGTGTTTCTACAGTATCATTTTGAAGGACGATTTGATGTGGTGAAATTCATGAAGATAATTCAAGAGAAAGGAATGTATGCAACTCTCAGGCTTGGGCCATTTATCCAGGCTGAATGGAACCATGGGTATATATGCAATTATTGGTTAAATGAATTCTCCATTTCTCTATCTTTATTTGACTCTTGTATTATTGTATTTGTTTATGTATTTTTAAATGTAGTGGACTCCCCTATTGGCTCAGAGAGATTCCAAACATCATATTCCGTTCTTATAATGAACCATTCATGGTAATAATTAATGTCATCCATCGTAATAAAAAGAATAAAGGGATTTTTGTCTGAATTTCATGTAATTAACAGTATAAAACATTTTGCAGAATGAAATGGTGAAATTTATCACGATGATTATTGACAAGATGAAAGAAGAGAAGTTATTTTACCCACAAGGAGGACCCATTGTCTTGGCTCAGGTTAATTAATGATTCCCCTCCTCTAGCCTACATTTCTCATTTAAAAAAAAAAAAAAACAATAGTCTGATCCATTTTTGTGTTGTATAGTGCAGATTGAAAATGAGTACAACACTGTCCAACTTGCCTATAGAGAATTGGGAGATAAATATGTTCAGTGGGCAGGAAACTTTGCTTTGGGTCTGAATGTAGGAGTACCATGGGTCATGTGCAAACAGAAAAATCCTCCCGGTCCGGTGGTAAGCTTAACTATAAGGGCCTCCTTATCAGCACAAATACCCTCTGGTTCATTAAAAATCCTTAGTTTGATTTTTTTGTTCATAAGTAGAGCCGTGAACAGATAAGTTTTTCCCTTAGCAGAATATTCCAAGAAACAAATCAGGCTTTGAACCACTGATATCCTACATTAATGAGAAAAGCAACCAACTGCTTGCTTAAATGCAGGTCATTATTTGGTTTATAATTTTATAACCTGAAACACATGCTTTGTTATGTAGATTAACTCTTGCAATGGAAGGCATTGTGGAGATACATTTGTAGGCCCTGATAAACCTAACAAGCCTTATTTGTGGACTGAAAACTGGACTGCTCAGTAAGTTTATGCTTTCATACATACTTTTCCTTTTTCTCTTTTTCCTTGTTCGAGCAATTCATGAGGATGCATTAGTAGTCCAGACCAGAATATGACCTGTGTCCTAAACATCTTTGTTCTTTATTAATGTTGTATAATTACAGATTTAGAGTATTTGGAGACCCACCTGCTCAGAGATCAGCAGAAGATGCTGCATTTTCAGTTGCACGTTGGTTCTCAAAAAATGGATCTCTGGTCAACTATTATATGGTATGAAAATACATAAAATCTCTCTTTCATGTCTTGCAATATTTTTCCTAGAAGGTATTAATCAATTTATCTATGCAGTATCATGGCGGGACAAACCTAGATAGGACTGCTGCTTCATTTGTAACAACTCGCTACTACGATGAAGCACCTCTTGATGAATTTGGTATGGTTAAGAATATTATGAATCTCTTACTGTACGAAAAACAAACATAGATCCTTTAAACAATTAACTACATATGCTTCTTTCTTGGTGTTGCAGGTTTGCAGAGGCAACCAAAATATGGTCACCTCAAGGACTTGCATAGGGCTCTAGGACTATGCAAAAAGGCCCTGTTTTGGGGCAGTCCTGGTGTTGAAAAATTGGGTAAGGATCAAGAGGTAAGCGTCAAATGAAATTTCCTAAAACCTGGCAAAGAAGGAGTCTCGTGGATTCAAAAATCCCTTCTTTCATTTTCCACTTTGCAGGTTCGGTTTTATGAGCAGCCCGCAGAAAAACTCTGTGCTGCTTTCTTGACAAACAATGACACTAGAGAAGGAAGTTTTGTTAAGTTTAGGGGAAAGGAATTTTACCTGCCTCCGCGTTCCATCAGCGTCCTTCCTGATTGCAAGACTGTAGTATTCAATTCTATGCAAGTAAGTAGATAAGAAACGGAGATTAAAAATGTTTGTCTTTTGCTTGTCCATTTCTTGCGGTTAACAAAACTGTTGGTTATGTAATAACAGGTTGTGTCACAGCATAATTCAAGGAATTTTTTAAGATCAAATGAAGCAAACAAGAATCTTAAGTGGGAGATGACATCGGAAACAATCCTAACACAACTTAAAATGGATTCCAAGGTCCCTAAGGAGCTGTATAGCTTGACAAAAGATACCACTGACTATGCTTGGTACACCACGGTGTAAGTGCACTTTCTTAATCCACATGTTCTTTCTATCATATGCTAGAGCATTTATAACAGAAGCGTTAATTCCCAACATCCCAAATTTTAATATAATGCTCTTTGCAGCATGATATTGAATCCCCGGGACCTGTCGATGCGAAAAGATATTCTCCCAGTTTTAAGAGTTGCAAGTCTTGGCCATGCCATGCTTGCTTTTGTCAATGGTCAACTTGTAGGTAAGTATTTCCACATTCCTATCATCGCTGCGAGATATCGAATCAGCTTTGACTTTATCGGTATTCTCATAATTTCATTTAACTGAACGGACAGCAAGGTCTCAAGTTTGAGTTTTTGCAACATCAGTGTATACATATTTAGGTGATTGTGCTAATATCTTTTTCAGGATCCGCACATGGAAGTCAAATCGAGAAGAGTTTTGTCCTCCAGAGCCCTGTGGAATTGAAGCCTGGAGTTAATACTCTTTCACTTCTGGGCGTTCTAGTTGGACTCCCTGTAAGTAGCCACATATATATTGATTGTGGCTAATATCTTTTGCTCAGGATCCGCACATGGAAATCAAATCGAGAAGCAGTTTTGTCCTCACAGAAAGACCCTGTGGAATTGAAGCCTGGAGTTAATCTCTTTCACTTCTGGGCGTGTCTAGGTTGGACTCCTGTAAGTAGCCACGATATATAATTATAGTATACTATGATATAGGTATATAATATATATAGTATTTATATAATATATATAGTCAGGACAAAACTACACTAATTTGTATAAATGATAAAAAATGAATGTTAAGTTTTTTATGAATAAAAAGGATAGCGGGGAGCTTACATGGAGCACAGAATTTGCTGGGTCCTCAGAGGTGTGGAAATCCTGGGGTTTGACACTGGACAACTGGATGTATCCTCCAACGGTTGGGTTCAATTCAGGTACCGTTTTTTATTCCAACCCTTAACGACAAAAAATTAAAATCTATTCACTTTAAATTATCATCTAGCATAAGTGTTTTTGTTTTTTTTTAATAAATCTACGGTAGAATTCATTTCATTAATAAAAATTCATGCTAAAATGAATTTTCACATTTGTTAATCAGAAGCCATAATTACATTTTAAAGTACGATAAATCTTTACTAAGAATGTAACGTCGTAGTGCGTCTTTAGTCATTTTGCTAATTTTTTCTAAAATTTGGTAGAATTTTTGACAATGCAATAATTAATTCCATGGAATTAAAAATCGAAGAAATTCCAAATGAATTTTCATTTCCTAACGCTATATTAATAGCATTGATTATCTTTTAGGATTGGGTTAAACTGGAACCAGAAACGAGAAATGGTATATCAGAAGGAAAGGGATTAAAGAAGGTTAACGCTGGAAGAGGTTCCACAGGGAAAAGGGTCGCTACCTCTTACATGGTACCAAGAGGTAATGAAATAATACTATATATATATATATATATATATATATATATATAGAGAGAGAGGAAAGAGAGAAGAAGAGAGAGAGAAAGAGAGAGAAGAGAGAGAAGTTGAAAAGTAATTAAATTGGGACGAAAAGAATTATGTATTGGTACTCAAATAATTATGATCGTTTCCTTTGTTGGCAGGCTTATTTTGATGCTGCCTGAAGGATGCAAACCTGTTTGCTATTAGTATGATTGGAGTTAAAGTATGATTTAGGGATCAAACGGTCAGTGCATTGGCCGATACTGGATGTCGAATCTCTCCCCTCTAAGGCCAACCTACTCAACCTGAAAGTGGAGTAAATTCCGACATGGTTGAGGGATATATATGTTCTTCAGACAAAGACTGGAGATTTATATATTAATTAGAGCTTTCTGAATCCTTAATATTGTAAAAATCCAGGTACCCCACATTCCAAGATCTTACCTAAACCGAAGAATAACCTAGTAGTAATGCATGTTGGAAGAGGAACCAATCAAAACCCTGAAAGAATAGAGGATAGTACTGTGGATAGAGACGACCAATGCTGCCAAGCTTCATAGGAGAAATCATGCATCCACAAGCATGTGAAGTCATGGGCAAAGACAGGATAACAAATTTATACGGTTTTAATTGATGACGTGAAACCAGCAGCTCACGCTCAAAAGTGTCCAGTCGGACAGGAAAGAATAGTAAGCTGTCCGAAATTCGCCAGTTTTGGTGATCCTTATGGTGCTTGTGGTGGGTTTTATTGCTGGAAATTGCCTTCTGCTAATTCAAAACAGGTCGGTTCGAACAGGTAAAAAATTATTAACTCAGTTTTCGTTTTGTAAAATTTTATATGCGATTTTAGTCTGTAAAGAAACTTTACGTGAATCAAATTGGAACAGCAAATTGCCATGGGGAAAAAGCTTCTTGTGATGTTCCTATTTGGAGAGAGAGCTGTATTTACAAGAAATTAATGATCCTTGCCCCTGATAGTTAGAAAGACACTGTGCCGGTACAAGGTGGGAGGTGTGCCTGAAGAAAGAAGAAGAAATAAGAAAATATCTTTTAGGATATATGATTCCCTATTACTTTTTTTTTTTTTTTTTGTTTTTAAAATAATGTCAACTTCTAGAATTTGTTAAAATTTTTTAAACCGTTAATTAATAGTAATATCCGATTTTTTTTTTTTTTTGTTTAAATTCTGTGAATGAGTTTTTTGGACAGGTTAAAAAATGAAGGATGCATCATATATTTTGTTTAGCCAAAAAAAAAAATTAAAATTCCCATGAATAGAATCTTGGGCTTGTATACCGCCTCCTCTTTATTTAACATTAGACTATTACTTGTTTACAAGTACAACACCTAACAGCTGATATACATCAACCAGGGCAAAAAATGAAAGAATTTCATTGAACAATTAATATAATTATTATTTCTCATTACAACCTATAATTGCCTTAAAAAATAGATACAATGTTAGGTATAGCCAGGTATGCTAGAAATCAACGTTTAAGGTGGGATTGCATAATCAAAACCAGCTTGCTAAATAAGTAGAGTTCGCTACTAGTGTCACGACCCATTTCCGTGGGCCGGGACCGGCACTAAGGGCCCAGGTAAGCCTTAAGGCCCCCGAGGGCCGCGTAGTAAAAGCCTAAATCTCAAATTAAACAACCACTAGTATCTAAACCAGGGCCTATTGTCAACAATAAAATTATAATCACATTAATGGGCCTTTACTGCTCACGCTCTTCTGCAGCTAAATTACATGAGATATTTATTTATAGTGTGAACGTGCTAGACAATATCCAATAGTAATACACAACCCTGATAAAACACTGCGAGAGTTCAATAATAATCCTGATATAGAGTGAATTATACCATCCCAAAATTAGGAACATACAAGGAAATGTAAAGTTTACATTTAAATTTAACTCGCGGAGAAGATTGCAGAGCTTCAGTCGGATCAAGCCTGCTGTCCTAGTAACCTGGGAGGTTGGAGAAGAAGGGGTGAGTTTTAGCAAACTCAGTGATAATAATAAATAATACAACAACCGACATATAACGTACAAAGGCAAAATGCAGAAACCTAGTGTAATACTGAATGAACACCAACAGTCAAAATCATA